GATCGCCTTATTTATACATTTTTAACATATGATTTTAAAAAAATATCCAGACTAAACCAATACTATATCCTTTTTTTTACAAAGGATGATAGAGGAAATCTACTATCTGGTACTCGTGTAAAATAAATGATTTTTTCTCATTGACTATTAAAAATTTTTTCGTCTATTTAAATTTTAAAAAAAAAAGAAAAAAAAAATACAAAAAAAAAGAATTCAATTCAACATATTCTGATGCTTGCAAAAGTATCCACTATCTGTTACGTGATGAGCCACACAGAGCATCTGATGAGAGAACACATGCAAGATTAAGCGAAGATAATCAAAATGTGGCATACCTTCGCGTGAAGGTGTTCGTCACACTTGATGGAAATTCTGAGTACAATATCAGCAATTTTGAAGATGAAAGGATGATTCACTTAAGGGAAAAGTTTGTCGGTTGTGATAACTGATATGTGGTACGTAACTGATTAGAAAGAATAAAAAATAATAAAAACAAATAAAATAAAAACATACTAACCCGCTTACTATGACATGATAATATTAATGCAACTTCAATCAAAGAAGTTGAGATCGATTGCGACCCCTCACCCTAATTATGGGGCTGGATGTGATAGTAACAGGCATAACGAGTCAAACAGTCAGAAATATAGATGGGTTTTTAATGCTTGATTTCTTCGTAGAAGAGTATTTAGGGGAAAGGGAGCCTAAGAACTTCTGGGTCAAGGTTAAGCATCGCGCGGATAACAATTACTTGACAGAAAAAATGAACTTTGTCAACTAACATGGTCGTTTGATATTAGTGATACTTATAGAATTAATAAGTTACTAACACTCGTAAATGACGCAATGACTGAGGAGGAATTATTACCTGAAAAGCATATTTTAATATTAGAAGACATCTCTTTTATTTCATCGTAACAAGCGAACAGAGCAGTTTAAATTCTAAGTTTACCATGAACAAACCCTTTATCTACAAGCTCTACTTGTAGTAGAGGTAGAGGTAATAGAAGACTACGAGGCGTGATACTAAGATTCTGTGGCTATAGCACTTAAGTGTGAATGAGAAGCTCAAGACCTCTAGCAGAGATCCTACAAAGTAACCTGAATCTGATTCTATTATCTATAATCGAAGAACTCCTACCTGAATATCTTGACAAGAGAACCAAAGATCAAACTGAATGAATAAACGTATCTCATTTATAAATTTCAGGATTATTTGTTAAGATTATTATAAACTGAAAATTAACAAATACCAAAAAAGATTCTTATTATTAAGAATAAGCTTTTATTGAAAAAAATGTTGAATATTTTTATTATTAAACTTTTTTTATCTACAATTTTAACAGCCTGTTTTTAGCATATTTTTTCTTTTTTTTCATTCTCTTTTTTCTCAATTTTTTTCATGTATATCATCCTTTTTTCTTTCTTGCTTAATAGAATACATCGAAATCAAACGATAAATTTATAACTAATAGTTGCACAAAATGAACATTTAATCTCAAGAGATGATAATGGCAAATCATTATTTTTCTATATAAGAAAAAATTAAAATCCACATTTATTATTTTTTTTTTTTTGAAAAATAAAAATCAAGACATAATATATTAATTAATAAAAATACATATATATAAATAAATAAATAAAAAACATACTCAATAACAAATTTGCCAAGCGTTCTGTGATTTTATTTATTAAACTTAAAAAAAAATTTGAAAAAAATTACTATGATAAAAAAAAATAAAAAAAAATAGTTAATCAATTAATCAAACTGCAAAAAAAAAACAAATTAAATAAAAAAATATAAAAGACTTAAATTAAATTAAATTAAAATAATTGTTTTATAAGTTAAAAAAAATTGCCAATTTTTTTTATCGTAGTAATGAAAAGAGTTATAAATAATATCAATAAAAATTGATGTGTTAAACTTTTTTTTTTATTTTATATTATATGACTTTATATTATAAAAAAAAAAATAAAATAAAATAAAATAAAATAAAAAGTAAAATTTTATTTTTATAATAAAAAAAAAAAGAAAAAAAAATCTGAACACTTTTTGTTTTTTTTTTATACTTAAAAAAAAAAATAACTAACAAGAAAAAAAAAATAAAAAAAGATAAAATTAGAAAATAATCCTGAATTCTTCACATTACCAAATAAAAGAAGAAAAAAAGAATACTAATTTAAAACATAAAAAGATATATAAAAAATATCAAACATGAATTATAAGCTAAATAACATATTCACATTAGACAATGAATATAAAATCATACTAGATTAAAATATTCAAATCTTATTATCCAATAATATTAATGTTAATAATCTAGAATTCACGATATCTAAAATATTTACAGACACAAACTCATTTACTCAAAATAGTACTCTTCAAGAATTAAAATTACATTAATCTTTACGTTGGAAACTTACTCTAAAATTACAAAGATTGTACAATCAGTTTAAAATAACATTTTGGATCAGTAGTCTCAAATCGCTTACTTGTACTATAATAAACTTTATATTCAGAAAAGGCATTTTGAATATATTATAACCCATCAATTACCTATTTCATATAGTGATACATTCCTAATATTACGCTATCATTTAATCCTAATACTAATCATATCTCTGATCTAAGAGTTCTCACTTGCAAACCTTATAAAAAACTATCCACTTAGTTTACTTTCTTTTACCTTTCTCCTATACCTTGAGAGATTATCTCAGTTCTACTACATAAGAAAAATTACCTTTCACTGATCTACTTACACTGCTTTTTAGGTAGAACTCTGAATAATAATCCCTATTCTGAGTATAGAATATTAACTGATACGATAAATTACTTATGTAATATTAGAGTCTACGCCTTATGATTCAAATAATTCTAATGATGCAAATAATGACCACTTTCATAATGAAACCTTATGAAGAATAGCCTTCTAGTTAGCATAGCATAACTTTTACCTTCAACTTTTCGCTAACATACTATTGTCACATAATAGTAACTAAATGCAAACAGATTTTTTCTAAATATAAGACATATTCTGACTGATTAAAACACTTCTCCTGTAATCTTATGTAATATAATAGTCCTAAACTATGAGTTTCTAGATGAAGTTTACAATGAAGACTTCTATTATAATAGGTTAATGGCAGGTTTCATTCTAGAAAATGAAACGTTACAGATACTAATTTTAATGTATGATCTGAACTTAGAACTCCTATTTTTTTCTAATATATTTACTGATGGAAGAGGTTATTTTTATAACATAATAGACGAACTTTACCTTATTAATAGAAACTGTAATGAAACTTATGGCAAATACATAAAACAATAATTAATGAATTATGATCTAAAGTGGAGACTACACTACTATTAGCTTACTTAGTCATACTTATAACTAGAGAAATTTAGGTATTACAGAATACTTAACGATTATTAAAATAAACCTAACTAAATTTTAGTAATAATAATCACTTTTTTGTAGGCAAAGAATTATTATAACTAAACGAGTATAATTCCTCTTCTTACAAAATTAACAAAAATATAATGATGCTTATCTCTTTTTTCATACATACGAATAATACATACTTTTATCAGAAACAATTATACTTAAATATCATGATTCAAAAGATTGATCTACTGACTCTCTTCATCACTTTAAGCATAGCAAAATAATGTTAGACTCATCTTTATGATATACTCTCAGATAGTGATAATAGAGACACCTTATTTACTAACAGATCTTTTTACTATGCGAGCTACTTTGTTCATAAGTTTCAATACTTAAAGAGAGAACTTTACAAAAAACTAGACCTAATAGGTTTCAGGGAGATTACTGATTTCTTTGATTGAGTAAAATTCTAAAATAGAGGTATAGTTTACAACTATCGCTGCTATTGGATGACTGCATTTATTGAAAAATAATCATAAATAATGTCATTCTTTTAACGATGTCTGACCTTTTCATTAAACCTGAACTTTATGCTGTCATATTGATTTTTTTTATTATATAAGAACAAGTTATAAAAGCTATAGAAACTTAATTTTTATATTATTTTAGATAAGCTTCTAGCTAGCTAAGTCTAACAGTTCTTATTACATCATAAATAAGTTTAACAAAATTAAGTCTAATAGTCCTTATTACCTCATAAATAAGTCTAACAAAAAAATATGTCTAACAAAATTAAGTCTAACAGTCTTTATTATCTCATAAATAAGTCTAACAGTTCTCTTAAGTCTAATGAAACCCATAAATAAGTCTAATGAAAAATCATGTGACTTTTTAAATCTAATGAACTTTTTTATATACAAGAATGGCATCTGTATAAGTTAGCTCATTAAATAGCATAATTGTTAAATAAGTTTAATGAGATTTTTGTCCTAACCTTTTCTTAATCATTTGATTTAATGCAGGCTAGCTTACTAAATAGCATATTTTTATATAAAGTCTAATGAAACATTACTCTATAAAATTCAGAAAATTTTGTGAAATTGTCCTAACTTTTTCTTAATCAAGAATGGATTCTACATGAGCTAACTTATTAAATAATATATTCTAATATTTGAAAAAAATAGTTAAATCTAACAAAATTTTCGTAAATAAGTCTAATTGTCCTGATTTCTCTTAAAATATAGTATTTTATAAGATAAATCTAATAAAAAATATGTATATTAGAAATTGATTCTGTGTAAGTTTCTATAGCTCCTGTTATCTAGCCCTAGCAAGTTCTGTATCCTGATTTCAAATTATATCCACTTTTTTAAAATTAAGATTATTATAATAAACTTATTGTATTTTCATTAAATTACGATTTAAAAATAACATTACAATCATTGTAAAAAAGTTATCATGCATTTTTTTGGCAAAATTTCATAATAGAGTATATAAAATTTTCAGAATTTGGCTTCTGATAATCTTTATTATTTATGGCAAAATTTCATCATTATAAAATATGAAACAAAAAATTTTTTACGCATTTATTTCAAAAATGCCATCACTTTCAAAATGGCAAAAACAAATAAAAGAGTTGGCCAAAAAAAGGAACAGAAAAAAAACAGTGAAGATATTCCAATTTTTGATAAATTTGATATTATAGAAGAAGAAAGTGATAAAAGTGATGATGAACTAATTTGAAATAATCAAGAATTAGATGAAAAAACTGATAATTTTGTTAAAATTTTATCAAATGGGATGAAAAATTACGTATTACCTGCTCATAGATCTATTTGTACTGAAAATTCAATTCAAATTAAAAAAAGAAAAAAAGCTGAAGTCAGAAAACTTGCAGCATAAAATGGACAAATAATTACTAAATTTTTTACTCTTAAACAGCCTTGTCAATCTGATCAAGAAATTGAAGAACTTGGTTCTGATGAATTATGTGAATCTAATTCAGAATTTAAATGTATAAAAAATATTCAAATAATCAAGCAATTAATGCATTTGAAAATTTACTGAAAGGAAAGACACAATGTGAAAGTAGGGTTTAAAGACTAAAGGTCTGGCCTCTCATTAAAACATTAGGTGTGTAAGTTACAGAATATTAAAAACAATATTGATTTTTCTTATTATATTAGAAGAGCTTCTATCTGTTCTAGAATCTTAATTTTAATATTATATTTCTTAATTCTGTATGGATTCTACAACCTCAGAAAGCATATTAATTTTTATTATTATATTAGAAAAACTTTTAACAGCTCTGGAATCTTAATTTCTATATCAACTTTTCAGTTATATTTATTAAATCTAACAAAAATTATTATATCAAGAATTGATTCTGCGCAAGTTAACTCATTAATTAGCATATTAACTACTTAAGTCTAACGAAAATAAGTCTAATAGTTCTTATTACCTCATAAATAAATCTAACAATTTCTTAAGTCTACTGAAAATAATTTTAACTATTCTTATTACTCCATAAATAAATCTAACAATTTTTTTAAGTCTAATGAAATATAAGTCACATGATTTTATAAGTTTAACGAAAATATATATATCAAGGCCTGTCTCTATGCGCATTTGTTCAATAAATAGCATAATGATTAAATAAATCTAACGAAAAATTGTTCTAATTTTTCCAGAATATACTATTCTATAAAATAAGTTTAACTGACTTATCATAAGTCTAACAAATATGTATGCTAATATCTGTTTCTATGTGTGTTAGCCTATTAAATCTCTTCTTATCTATCATATAAACCTAACAAAAAATGGTCTAATTCTATAAGTCTAACAAAAATTATAAATAAAGAATTGGTTTTACGCAGACTAGTTTCTTAACTAGTATGTTTTATATAAAAGTCTAATGAAAATAACTTCTGTAAAAATCCAGAAAAATTTGCAAAATTGTCCCAATTTTTTCTTAATAAAAAACAGTTTTACGCAGAATAGCTCGTTAAATAGCATATAAATCATAAACCTTTAACGAAAAAAATAAAAAGCAAGTATAATGAAAATTTAGCAAATATTCATTGAATATTACGTCCTAAATTCTAGCAAAATTTAGGTAAAGAGTTAACTGAAATAATTTTTCTATTTATTCTGGCTGACATTTATCACAATATTCTCCCTCTTTTAGTTTTATCAGATAGAGGCATTTCTTACAAAAAGAAATATTAAGATTTGCAAGCACATTATTATAGGCAAGCATCATTTCCTTATAAGTTTTTTCTTGTGTCTCAGATTGAAGTCTTTTACATATCTCTGATCAAAGCCTTTCTTTGTATCTCCAATTAAAGACTTTCTGAACGAAGTCTGTCATAAAACTGAATAACATAATAGCCTCTGAAATGATCTGGTCATCAGCTATAAGCAAAAGCAATTGGCTTATCACAATCAGAATATAGTAACTGTTTTTTTTGATTTCTAATGAAATCAGCATCCAGCAAGCCTAGTAGAAGCTCTCCTACAAACCTTTCCAGTATTGCAGAGAAATAGGTAGAAATATTCACTGATCATCCTATTTTATATCACTAAATATTGAAAGAATAATTAATAAATAGTTAATGCTTTAGTTTTGAGAAGATAGTTAGAACTGTTTTCACAAGCCTGCAAACGCCGTCTTCAGTGATCAAAAAGTAAAAGAAATAGGAAATAATTAATTAAAGAAAAAATTTATAAGCAAGTAATAGCGTGATAGTTAGAGCTAACTATATATCAAATATTAGATGCATATCTTAATTATATTGAAGAAATAAGTATAGAGATAGCTGATTTCAATCCAATTAATCCTACTGCCCATATACCTTTATTTGAAACTATGTAATAACGAAATTATTAATATTCAAAATAATGATAACTGGTACTTCAGATGGTGTGTTCTAGAAGCTTTGCATTCAGTTAAAGTTCATTCAGAAAAAAATCTGCATTGGCTATATGAAGATTTTGTGAAAGAACTTAATGAAAACATCCCAATTCCAGTATCAGTTTCAACACTAGTTTATAAAAAGTTTGAAGAAAATAACTCTGAAATCAGTCTATGTATCTATAAATGGCACAACTAAAACAAATGTCTTGACTTTCGCTATGTTTCAGAAAGAAAAAAAGATGAATATAAGCAAGTAAATCTTCTAGTAATTATGGAAGAAGAAAGAAGTCACTACTGAATTATCAAATATTTACATAAGCTAGTATACAATCATAGTAAACATAAAGGGCAAAAATATCTCTACCATTATTGTCTTCATGTATACTCTTTAAAGATAAGATACAATGAATATTTGCCAAAATGCAAGGGTTTAAATAATGCCTCTAGCGATCACAAATGCCAGTTAAGAATAGGAGTATCAAAGCTTTTATAACTATAAATGTATGCAATCAAATCCATATCGCATTTTCTGAGATTAGAAATGTTAACTGAAAAGTTAACCCTAGAAGAAAAGACAAAGTTAACCTATACTGAAAGATTACAGATACACAAGTCATGTGGCTATTGCTATGTAATTATTCGTATGAATAGTTCATTTAACTATGAAATCATAAGTCATGATTTATATAGGGGTCTAGATACACTTGAAAGATTTGTTACAAAAATCGAGAAGGAGCTGGTAAATATACAGGAGGACTTATTTGTGCTTGCAGAAATGATAATGGTATCAGGAGATCTTAAAGTATACAATGAGGCAACAGAATGCTGGATTTGCAAGGAAATTTTTTTAAAACTAATACCAGAAATAGTAGAAATTAAAGAATGAGAATCATGCATGAAAAAGGAACATCCAAAAAAGAAAGAGGTACAGAAAAGATACTGAGAAGCTTTAAGTGTACTTAATCGAAAAGTAAAAGATCATGATCATATAAATAAAAAGTACCAAGGCCCAGCTCATGACTCTTGTAATAAAAAATTGCGAATAGGCTCTTTTGAAACTAAAGTACCTCTTATTTGCCATAATTTCTAAGGTTATAACTCTCATTCGCTTATAAAAGTTGTAAGCAAGTTTACAGCTGATAAGCTAAAATGCATTTCAGAGAATATAAGAAAGTACAAAGTCATAGATGTTGGCCAGCTCTGATTTCTTGATAACTTTTAGCATATGGGAATGGAATTAAATAAATTAGTAAAATATCTAGGAGGAAAGCTCGAAAAATTCTCTTTACTGTTAGGTACTTTACTGAGAAAGGCTACTCAATAGATAAGATTAAGCTTCTTTTTTGAAAGGGCATTTTCTCATATAACTGGACAAATGCATAGGAAAAATTCGACAGAACAAGCCTCCCATCTAGAAAGAACTTCTATTCACTTCTTAATCAGCAAAATATTAGTAAAGAGGATTATGAACATGCTCAAAAGGTATGGCAAATATTTGAGATGAAGAACTTTAGAGAATATCATGATCTTTATCTTGAGACAGATATACTTTTACTTGCAAATGTTTTCATAAACTACACTATCATATGCTTGAAAGATGACAGCTTAGATCCCTCTCATTATGTTTCAGCACCTGGAATGTTTAATGATTCTCTTTACAAAAGTAACGAAGCAGAACTCAAACTCATAATAAATATAGATAAATATTTAACGATAGAAAATGATATTTGTGAAGGCATGACAATGATAAGTCATTGATACGCTAAAGCAAATAATCTATAATATCCAGACTATAAATCCAGCAAGCTAAATTCCTGAATCATATATAAGGATATAAATGTTTTATATTCAGATATAATGACCCAATACATGCTTACAGAAATTTTAGATAAAGTAGTACTAGAGAAAATACCAGATATCCAAAGTATAGTACTAAATGCAGAAATAAGTTATATACTAGAAGTTGATCTAAAAGCCCTAATGCACTTGCACGATTTTTTTACAGATTATCCGTTAGCATCTGAAAAGCAGATAGTTTCAAAAACTGACTTAGTTTATATAACGAAAGATTAATGAAAGATAAAGAAGTTGAAAATGGAAAATATGTATTTAGAGAGAAGCTAGTTTAGACCCTCTTTACTAAGAAGAATTATGTAATTCACTATCAAGCTCTTCAGACAAATATGAAGTTTGAGATGAAGGTTACAAAGATTTATAGTACTCTTAAATTTTGGCAGTCTCTATAGATGAAAAATTATATTGAGGAAAATATTCACAAATATAAAATTGCTAAAGCTAATAGAGATGAGTTTGAGATCATGTATTATAAGCTAAAAAATAATGTAGTCTTTAGCAAACAAATGAAAAATGTTCGTAAACATATGAGAGTAGAATTACTCTGAACAGAAGAGGATAAAAAAATCAGGCGTCTAGCAAGTTTAACATTGTATGTAAGCTTTAAAGCATTTGAAAGGGGGATTACAGTAATCCATATGTTAAAAAGTATAGTAACTCTAAACAAACTAATATATGTAGAACAAGCAATTCTTGACATTAGCATGACTATGATGTTCAACTTTTAGTATAGTTATATAAAGTCTCGCTATAAAGAAAAGGCCCATCTACTTTATACAGATACAGACTCACTTATTATATAGATAAAAACTGAAGATATTTATAAAAATCAAGCAAAAAGATCAGACATTTTCAATCTTAACTATTCAAGAGACTTATTTCTAATGAAAGATAAGACAAAATGAGGTCCAATAGGCAAATCAGTATGCTTAAAGCCAAAAGTGTATTTAGTTCTTCTAGCAGGTCATGATCCTAAAACTCCTGATGATCCTGATTCAGAAGACCCTAAAAAAAACATGGCATTCAAAAGGCAAAGGATATTAAGAAATGTATGGTTAAGAGGTAATTTTGACATAATAAGTTCCTAGAATATCTTAAGAACAAGAGACTAATCTGGTATGATATGTATAACCTCTAAAGTTATGATCATTAAATATATCTGGAGAGGATAAATAAGATAGGACTGAATTCATGTGATAACAAGTACTGGATTTTATTTAATGAAATTTGAACTCTCCCATATG